CTGATGTCATTTACAAGTTCCACAAAGTGCTTTTTAGTCCCTTTAATTAATATGAATCTGGCTGTGAGCTCAGACTCAGGTAACATAAATCTGCTAGTGTTCCAATTAAGCTATTAAAATGTTATTTCTGAACCTCCAGGTTTTATTTAGATGTTTTAATACACTTATTTATTTATTTATGCAAAAATGAAGGGAACATTTTGTAATTTCGTAAACATTATGAGAATGTTACTTTGGAATGTTCTCTGAACATTCTGAAACGGAACATAAAAGAAACTTAAAACGCTTCATGAACAAGTTTGTGCTAATGTTTTGAGTACATTATTAAAGACCTGCTAAGTCTGAACAAACATTCTATTAACGTTACTACAACATTAGCCAATGTTCTGAGAACGTTCTTTGTTAGCTGTGAAGATCTGATAAAACATTAAGAATCAATGTTTTGGTGAAGACACTTTGGTGAAAAATTATGACAGTGTAGGTGTACATGTGCACCGTCATCTCTAAAGTACTTTCCATTACATACTGTCGTCTCCTGTGAATCAGACCTGCACATTTAACACAGAAATATATGCTGGGTTATGTCAAAGCTAGATGTTGATGTGGTAACAGCACTGTACATGTCACTCTAGCCCTCTTGTTACCGTAATTGTCCCTTTTATCCCTTTTTCTGCATCACCTATACCTATAAGTGGAACTAAGTTTAGACATTTCACATGAGACTACGTCTGAAGATTCTGCTTTAAATCAAAGCTTAAATCATTCTGCTTTAAACCTCTGGAAAGTTTTTATGGGTGTTAAAGGTTCTTTATGGAACCAAAATATTTTTTATTATATAAAAACCCTCAATTGCTCAATGGACAACATTCCTTATATATTTATACATATTTGTGTTTGAGTACACAAGTTTTACAAAAAACTGATTTATAGATCCAAAGAGATGTCAATTATTACCAGCTGCCCACTAAAAACTCACTATAGGAGCATTTTATAAGTCTAGGAGTATTTTATGTTGTAAAATATCTACTAATGAAATTATCCAGTAGACTTAAAACCAATACAGATCACATATAGTTCTGTCTCTGCAAGCAGTGCTCCATTTGACAAACTCATTTATTTCTCGAAAGCCTCCTGTCGTGAAGTTATTAACAGGCTTGTCACCTACAAGATGTACAGTAATGTTCCATGACTTAATTATAGCCGATTGATTTTTGCCTAATTTTGCTCATAATTTGGTGCACATTAAACCAACTCAAGGCTAATAGCTGCTAATATATGCTCAGTTCATGGCTACTTGATAATTAGCACCTATTAAGCACATGAGTGTGGTAGGTAACGTGTACTTGGACCGCTGCTGTCCTCTAGTGGTCAGATAGGTCACTGCATTATTGCATAGTGTCAAAGTCACGGCTATGCCCCAGTTTGAATACTAGAAACTAAGTATAAACTGTGCTAAAAATGGGAAAGTGGTTACTTTTGAAGTATGTAGTAAGACAGTATGCCAGTATTGGGATATTCACACACAGCACTGAGATCACCCATCACCACTTCAGTACATAATATTTACACTTCCGTCTAAGAATTAGCATGTAGCTAAATTATCTTACAATTGTAATTCATTTGAAACCTGCCACAGCTGCCACATTTTTCACTTTTCTTCATTTGGAAAAAAAAAAAAAAAAAAAATCTATCACACCTTTTCAACTGTTTTCTCTTCTGTTGCGCAAGCTGAACACGTTTGTATGAAAGCATACTTAAAAAAATACAACTTAAACAGTACATAACAGTATATAAAGAGTATATCTCCAGCAGTGTTTTTCAGTAATACTTCTATGCTATTATAGTTTTTTTTTTTTATATTAGCTTTTATTTTCATATTTATTTTTATTTTAATTAAATGTTTAGTAATTTGTGCTTTTGTCATTTTAAACAAAAATATAATAAAGTCGTGGCCTAATGGTTAGAGAGTTGGTCTCGTAACCCAAAGGTTGCGGGGTCGAGTCTCGTACCAGCAGGGATTGTAGGTGGGGGGAGTGAATGTACAGCGCTCTTTCCCACCTTCAGTACCACGACTGAGGTTCCCCTGAGCAAGGCACCGAACCCCCAACTGCTCCCCGGGCGCCGCAGCAAAAAAATGGCTGCCCACTGCTCCGGGTGTGTGTTCATCGTGTGTGTGTGTTCACTGCTGTGTGTGCACTTTGGATTGGATAAATTCAGAGCACTAATTCCGAGTATGGTTCACCATACTTGGCCACATGTCACTTTCACTTCACTTACTAATTTTAGTGCTTAAACTCATTTTAGTTAGATGACAGATGGCAAGGCAACATTTCAAAATTTTCATTTAGAGTAAGTTATTCACAATATTTTTTTCAGCTTTATATCAATTAACAAAAATGTTTTTAATAGTTTTAGTTCTGTGATGACAACTCTCAGAGGGATTGGCATGGTAATGTACATGACAATGGTAATGTATTTGGTCTTGGCGGAATAGATCTGCTACACTGCTGCTGCTGCTGCGGCAGAGCAAGTACCGAGACTTGCTACTGCCAATACATCCACAACATGCTGCTGTAAGCATGTAAGAAATACTGCTGCTGCACATATAACAAATATGAATAACCCCCATATAGCATACATTCATACATCACCCCTTAGCAGATCTGTACAGGTGGAGCTGGGGAAGGTGGAGGGTTTCTGAAGTGCGCTGCCAACTGCTACAGCAAACAAAAGCCAGGTATTTGAATATTGAGCAGCGAGCTCATTGGCTACCAATACAGGAGAGAACCAATCAGCTGTGCCATGTGATAATGATGTCATAGTTCAGATTGAGCTAGACCTATCGGACTGCGCCATCTAGAGTTTCATGCCAGAACTCTGTATTTGTGCAAAATGTCCTCATATAAATAATTAGTAAATTAACAGATGCAACTTGTGGCTGTCACCAGGTCAGATTGAGCTAGACCTATCGGACTGCGCCATCTAGAGTTTCATGCCAGAACTCTGTATTTAACAATGCTCATATCCAGGCACCTCTGATATACCACTTTACAAAAACAATAAGTTGAGACATTATAATCTTGCATACTTGTGATGGATAGTATGCAAATTTGAACAAATAGATATTAGATGTGTCCTTTTTGCATTTAACACCATGCATTTGGACTAAAAACTGCACAGTGTTTAAATCAAGCACAGCATCAGTGACTCACATCAGATGCAACATTTAGTATATTATGTCCTTGGTTCAAAAAAATTCAAGACACTTATATGAGAATATAAATATGAAATGTATGATCTATAAGACTGTGATCTGTGTGACTATATCTTTAAAATGTAGATTTCAGGGCCACTTAGCTTTCATATGTTACAGTATAAATTGCAGACTCAACAAAAACTAGCAACACCCTTTTAAACCTCTCACTTTCTCTCTCAGTCTCACAAACACACCCTCACACACTGCTCACATTCACGCAGGAAGTAAGCTCAAGGCAGATCGCAAGAAAGGAAGTGACATGCAACACATTTATAAACAATACTGTTGCTTCTTCTGCAAATGTATCTGGTCTGCTATTGTACGTGTGAAGACGAAGATAAGTCCTCCAAACATTGTAGGTTTTTAGCCACAGCTCACTCCATAGACAAATTTAATTTATTATAATTTTTTTTATTATAATTAAAAAAACATAGTGGAGTCCATTGAAAATATGGGATTTAAATAAATATATAAATAAAGTTATAACGTAATGAAGAAGAAATGTCACTTAAATTATATATTGTTCCATATCCTACATTATATATTTTTTTTGCCTAATTTTGCTCATAATCTGGTACACATTAAACTCAACTCAAGGCCAATAAATAAATAAATAAATAAATAAATAAATAAATAAATAAATAAATAAATAAATAAATAAATAAATAAATAAATAAATAAATAAATAAATAAATAAATAAATAAATAAATAAATAAATAAATAAATAAATAAATAAATAAATAAATAAATAAATAAATAAATAAATAAATAAATAAATAAATAAATAAATAAATAAATAAATAAATAAATAAATAAATAAATAAATAAATAAATAAATAAATAAATAAATAAATAAATAAATAAATAAATAAATAAATAAATAAATAAATAAATAAATAAATAAATAAGACATAATGAAGAAGCAACGTCACTGATATTATGTATTGCTTCATAACTTAATTACTGCTTATTTTTGCCAAATTTTTATCATAATTTGGTGCACATTAAACTCAAGGCCAATAAATAAATAAAAATGAATAAATAAATAAATAAATAAATAAAGTTATGACAAATGAAGAAGTGTCACTTACATTATGTATTGTTTCATAACTTAAATACAAACGGTTTATTTTTGCCTAATTTTGCTCAAAATGTGGTGTGCATTAAACTCAACTCAAGGCCAAAAAATAAATAATAAATAAGATGAATAAAGAAATAAAGTCATGATGTAATGAATAAGAAATATTTATATAATAAGATTCTACACTATTTCTAGACACTAATCATATTTTTTTTTTTAAATGTGAAATTTACTTTGTTGTACCTTTGTACAAAAGGTGAGAGGTCAAGGTTTTTTTAAATGAAGTGGCAGATACAATCTACAAAAACTTTTTTTTTTAATAATAAGGTAATATACAGTAAATACAATTTTATATAAAGAAAAAAAAATGATATAAAGTATGAAATATCATAGTATAAGGTGATGCACATTTTGTTTAGGTGTCATATCATTCAGTCTTAGAATGACACTGAATGCAGATACCGAGATACACTGGAGTCACGTCACCTTTGACAGAGTGACCCACGAAGCTCTCCTGCATGTCAACATCCAGTGCTATTGAGTAAAAATGGCATTACTGATAAGTACAGATCACATGTATCCGCCCAGCAACCACAGGAAGTCCTTTTGCTGCTGCTGCTGCTTACAGAGCATCAGCCTTGTGCAGCGGAAGTGCACACTTCTATCTACACACATACAAACACACCTACAAGAGCAAGAAGTGAGGACTTGTGGCTCCCCGTCCCGGAAAAGACCGTCTGCATCCTGTCGGACACAAGAGTCAGAAACCATGATCAAACGCAAACTAAGTGAGTATATTTGATTGAGCACTTCCGCCGTAGTATAGTGCAATATAATTTTGCCATGAGGTTTCTTATTGTGGTTAAAGTCTCTGGTCAGTTAAGCAAGACTAATAAAGATCAAAATGCCTTAAATAACGCCCCAGTGTCCTTGTCGAAGCTATCAGTGAGTTATAAAGGAGCAGTTTGTTGGCATTATTGATTTTTATAATGGCCTTATAGGCTAATGTTCCTCTCTTATGAAGGTTAGTGTATTTGAAGGCAGTGGTACATAGACACTGATACGTTTTTAAGAGGCTTTTTGTAGTTTTGATTCACATGCCTTGAGGAAAAACCAAAGTCAGAATCATGCCGTTCTGAAGACAGTGATGGGATATGGGAATACTGTAATGACATTTGGGGATTCAGCTGCACAAAGCAAATGAATGTACTTTAGACTAGATCAATATGAGCCAAATTGAACATCGACCAAGAAAAACAAACTCATGATGAAAATAAAAGTCGTTTATATTAGATTAGTTTGAGTATTATAAGGTCAAAGTATATGGGATATATGGATATTTTTGTGTGATACTTGGAGCAAATACACGTAAAAGCACAGTCATACAAAAAAAAAAAAAAACAAACACAATGGCAGGAAAAGTAAAAAAAACACAAAAGACATCTAAAATCAGTCATGTACATTCACTAGTAAGTTCGTATATCAATCCAGACCAACAGAAGAGGAAGGTCTTTAAAGTAAAAAAACATAAAATATAAATATATAAAATATTTAAATTACTTGCGTATGTTCATATACACACGCCAATCTATTCCCAATAAAAATATAGATTATTCAACACATATTTATTGTACTTTTTGCCTTACTTAACGAGGTTAGTAGTCACAATGGAACCTAGAGCTGTCAAATTGATTAATCGTGATTAATCCCATCCGAAATACTTTAAAATATTTTTTCTCTTCATCTTCATCACTCAAAATCTTAAGGAATATTAGCTGTAGGTATACCTCTGTTCCACTAACATGTTTAACAAATTTTCCCAAGGCATTTCAACAAAAACCTTTATTTTGTGGAAAACACAGTGATCAAAATTAGAGCACAGTAACCACTGTAGCACAAAAGAAGATTACTACTAACATTTGGATGGTTACAGCTGTCAGAAAATTATTAGGACGTGTAGAGGCCCCTGCTTTGAATGACTTCAGCACATCTGCGGCCGCAGGACTTCTTTAGTTTCTCACACTGCGCTGGCGTGATCTTGGTCCACTCTTGGTCCACTGCTTTACCTGTTCTGCAGTGTGACAGGGACATTGTCTTGCATGAAAATTGCAGGCTGATTGGGAGATGCTTGTAGGGAAGGAACTGCATGTTGCTGAAGGAGGTTCTAATAAACAATTGTATTCGCTCTGACATGTATCTGTATAAGAGGCCCAACTTCTGCTGCAGAAAACATCCCCTAAATCATGACACTTCCTCCTCCACCTTTCTCTGACTTCTTTACACACTTCAGTTTTGGCTCCCATCAGACCCAAAAAAAATTACACTTATTCTCATCACTAAAGTGAACTTTGGACCAGTTCTCCTCTCTCCACACAGCATGCTCCTCAGCAAAGCCTTTTGATACTTTCTGCTAATGAGAGGCTTGGTCACTGCAGAGTGTGCTTTCAGTCTCACGTCTCTTAAACATGCCGAGACAGATCCATACCCTGTTCAGTGCTGAACTGGCAAGCAATTCCAGCTGCAGTGTTGAACCGATTCCTCATTGAGAGTCTCCGCATTATCCTGTCTTCTCGTGCATTTGTCCAGCCTTTTTGGGGGACTTGAATTAATTAGTGTCATTGTAAACCTGCAATATTCGGGAAATCACAGATTTGGAATGACCAAGTTCTCTTGCTATGGCTGAAAGTGTCATCCCTTTAGCCTTAATCTGGACAACCTCCTGTCACAGGGATTCAGTCACCATAGAGCGGCCCTCCATCTTGCAATCTCAGTGAAAATTGGAGGAATGCTGCCAGTTGAATAGGGTTTGTCATATAATTAAGGAAATTGGCACCAGGTGCCAGATTAACACCATTAACTTAAGTGTTCTCTAATTTTGATCAGAGTTCTTTTTCAAATATCTCATTTAACTTTTTTATACAGTGCATCAGAATACAATTAATTTATGAAATATGCTTAAAAACTTCAAATTCAAAAACAAATTCAAATAGGACTAAGCAGTGACCTTGAAATTGATGAAATGTTAGGTTGTTCTCTAATTTTAATCTCCACTGTATGTGTGTGTACTGTGTATATTGTATGTATACATAAATACATACACACATACGTGTATATTTAAGAAATATATGTAATATAAATTTATATAAAATATAAATATGACTGAATATGTATATATAGTTTCTTTATTTTCTTAAATATAAACATGTATGTGTGTGTGTATTTTTATATAATATACACAGTACACTCATATATTATGTAAACACAACATTTATTTTGGATGCAATTAATTGCGATTAATCATTAAATATTTTAACAGTAACAGTTAAATGGTTATTAAACATAAAGCAGGAAATATAGTAAACGTAGAAAACATTAAATCTTTACTTTGATAAATGTGACCCTGGACCACAAAAGCAGTCTTAAGTCGCTGGGGTACATTTGTAGCAATAGCCAAAAATACATTTTATGGGTCAAAATAATAGATTTTTCTTTTATGCCAAAAATCATTAGGCTATTAAGTAAAGATCATGTTCCATGAAGATATTTTGTAAATGTCCTACTGTAAATATATCAAAACTTCATTTTTGATTAGTAATATGCATTGCTAAGAACTTCATTTGGACAACTTTAAAGATGATTTTCTCAATATTTTGATTTTTTTGCACCCTCAGATTCCAGATTTTCAAATAGTTGTATCTCGGCCAAATATTGTCCTATCCTAACAAACCATACATCAATGGAAAGCTTATTTATTCAGCTTTCAGATGATGTATACATCTCAATTTAAAAAAATTGACACTTAAGACTGGGTTTGTGGTCCAGGGTCACAAATATGTTTTGATCAGTAATTAATAAATAAATAAAATTACAAGATATAAAACACAAATATGCTTTTACTGAGAAAATATCTATTCAGACTTTTATTTTTTATGTACACATTGCAATTAGTGAAAATGATAAGAAACATTGAAGTAGATATTTAAATATTTATTCATTCATATTTAAATTTTGAGTACGAAAACACTGAAATGTGTTTTAAGAATGTATGTGCTATCATTATTATTTTATTTCACACTGATATTTTCTTTAATAGACGATTCTATCAATTTACTGTAATTTCATAATTCAAAATGTAAGTGTAAATATGATCTGGTATTTTAATTACCATTCATTTTAAGATTATTTGATTATTGTGAATGCAAAAAGTAACAGTTTTATCTCACAAAACATGTTTCATCCTTAATATTAGTTACAATTCTGGATAGCTGTGTGTTTTCTTCAAGTACAATATATCAGTACAGCAACACATTATGAACTACATCACCTTTAACAGTCCCATGTGTTATTCATTTCAATCTGTCTGATATCTAAATATACTCAGTCTGGATCATAACACAAGACCACTTGACAAGAAACACAACCAGAATGGGGCTAAACTTTGACAGTCCCCCGAGAGCTATAATTATTAAGATAAATGAACAGACGTTCCAACAATGACAAAGAGAAATTTAAGACCCTGACATCGAAGATCATGCTAGAAACATTACAAAATACGGCTAAGCTTTATTTTAAGAATAGCCTTCCTGTTTGCACAGTCTCTTAATTTCCTCCCACGTTCATCATTATCACTGCTCTGCAACCTTGACATGATTTTCACCAGAAGGAAATATTCTGGCTTTATTTATGAGAAGCTGAAATGTTCAAATGGTTGTTTTAGGGACTAAACGGACCAATGCATTTTTCCCACAGATGAGTTCAGGGCTTGTATGTTTACTTAAGAGGCTACATGTTTCTTTCTCACATTTAAGGAACTCTTGGGATAAAAGGGACCCTGGGGTGCACAGCAAAGCCCGCAACGAGCACCCTAAGCTATTTTTATTTATTTTTTACCAATGAGAGGTTTAGACTAAAAACCGTGTAGAGTTATAACACGCACAACATGTTTTCTCCTTTCTCAGACTTCAAGTGGTTTGGTAGTCTCACCAACCTCCGGCGGAAATCAGACACCCAGAAGGACGATGCCAAAGAGGTGTCCACCGATGACATGGGCATGCATCCACGGAGCCCGAGCTACGCCAGCTCCAGTGAAATGTACACGCACATGGGCACCATGCCGCGTCACCCGAAGAAGGACAAAAGCTTGAAGAAGAGCAAGTCCAAGGACAAGACCAGCCTCAGTCGGAGTCAAAGCATGAGACCTCCACAGGACCATGTAGTTGATTCCCCACTTCTCAGCGTACTCTCTGGGAAGGGCCTGGAGGCCCTGGAGAACCCCATCTTAGAGGACAAGCCAGCTGTAGGAACCAGAGATAATCACATTCAGAATCGTGAACTTCCACCTCCACCAACTATGGATGGACACTCAGCAAAGCAGGAAGATGAAGATAAGGAGCCAGTAGATGACTCCAAGCTACATGTTGATCCACCAAATGCATGTCTGGGAACATCACCAGATCTATGTCAGAGCAAAGAGCCAGAGGTCCAGCCAGTGCTGCCCAAGAAGAGACATAAAGAAGGAGACACCTCCATGAAGGATGCTGAGGCGCTCCAGGTGGACAATAACTTGATTCAGTTACCTCTGAAAATCGGCAGTCAGGTGGAGCAGAAGCAAGCAGCATTGGAAGATGCTAAAATAGGATCAGACTGTAAACAAGACAGTCAGGAAGAAAAAGAGCCTACCAGGTAAGAATCAGCTAAATTCCTTGATTCTTGAATCTGATCTTCATCGTTTGTTTATACCCATTAAGTACAGTAGCTACGTTCAATGAGTACAGTACAATTAACATTAAAGACGAAATACCATTCAAACAATAGAAACCATCACAGAATCTGTAATGGTTTACAGGTTATAATGGGAATTATATTGGTTTTAATGGAAATGGTAAGGGTCCTTGTGGATCTCTGCTGGTAATTTGTCACCTTTTATTGGTGGCTTGTTAAAACCACTAAATCCTAATGGAATATATCCCAAAACACACTACAGGAAAACATTTTTTAATGGTTTTAATGGTTAATAGTTGGATGGTTTGTAATGGTATTTGTAGTGGAAACCTTTAGAATTTCTGTGATGGTTTCTTTAGTTTGTTCTTTCAGCAGGGAAAGTGTTATTAAGAAATGGATTTGTGACTAAATGTTTCAGAGGACAACAACGTCACATGAACGCTATTGTTCCGACAAACAGCATGACATACGAATGTGATTTTTACACAGTTCAATATACAAGAAGTTAAAATTGAGCAACTAGCATTTTAAACACAATACTGCAGTTAGTTTCTGTATTTTTGCACCGCCATTCGTTCCAAACGAAGCCAAAGCTGAATGAACCAGCAAGCAACACAGACTAGTGTTTGTTCCTGAATCATTCAGTTTAGAACAAATCAGTTGAATGAATGACTCATTGACTCGCTCATCCACTTATCGCCACCTACTGGCATACCGATGCAACCCACAGTAACTGAAAAATATCCCAAATACACAAGTGGAGTGAAACAAACAGTGAAAAGCCCCAGTGCTGTTGGACTGTATATCTGTATATAAATAATGAAGCAAATTGAGACATTAGGACAATACAGAAACTCTTAACAGATAAATCAGATAGCTGCACTATAACGTCAAATGAGACTAATCCTCGTGTCTGACCACATACCGTGACAGTGTGCTTTTGTGATACAGTAAATTATGATCTCTGCTCCTTTGTGACATTGGTTCATTGTACATGTACTTCACGCTTGAGATGTTCTCATGAGATTAAGACCTGCTCTGTGCGTTTAGACATGCATTATAATACAGCTTATCTCAGGGACCCTATAGACTCCAGTATGTTAATAACAAAATACTAAAATATATTTAAGTGAATTTATTAGCGTACGTTTGGGATTGGATATGTGAAAGATTTTGGCCAATGATGGTGCTGAATATTCTCTTTTTACATCAGGCTTGCTCCACTGCTCGGTTCAGCCATGTTTCCAATTTTGCTGGATGGCGTGTAAATGGCTGGTAATGAGGTCACACACCTGTGAATGTTTGATCAATGAGGTCAAACAGCGTTTTAGCAGTGAGCAGTATAAATTCACATTAGTCACATTAGTGGGCAGCAGAGAGCAACAGGGTGAACAGGCATTCAAAGAAAAGTTGTTATTCATTCCTCTCAGCTTCCCAAAGGGACTTGACAGACCGTAAGACTTAGACTGGAAAACTGAATGAACAATTTTAGGAAACACCTTATTGGGCCTTTTTTATGAAAAAGTTTTTTTGTTGTTGTCTATTCATTTGGAAGTGTTGTTTGAATATGAAGTTGCACAAGGATCTAAGGTGAGTTTATCATTGTTAGTATGTCGTTTGTGTTACATATTTTCCTCTAAAATTTTATTTTAGTTCTAACAAAAAATTCGAATAACTTTCGTCATCAATTTATTTAATTTTACTTTACTTTGATGACAGTGGGGGCTAAACTGCTTGTTATTTTTAGCTTTAATTATAATAGCAGTATTCAGTAAATAGTGAACTTAAAAAACAAATGAGTAAAATGCCCTTTATATCTACACTGTATACTTTGAATTCAATATACTGTATAGCGTTGTGGTCATAAATGGTGTAGTTATTGTATCAAATTATAATATTTTACTTTGAGATATAGCATGGCAAAAAAAAAGTTATTATTATGGTATCTTGTCTTGGACAGCGTTTTAGTACAGGCAAACTGCATATGCTACATAATCATTGTCTTATAATAAGACTGTATCAGTCAGAGCTCATTATAAACAACACCTGGTTTGTTGTTTGCAAGGAAGATCTTTTCCCTGTCATATACAGCTGAAGGAGGATAATGATGTGAGGTCAGCCGGCACAGCTGGAGGATGTGAGAAATGTCTTCAGGAAACACACAAGTCTTCCTGCTTTTGTATGCAGTGTCTTTAAGAGGACGTGTATTCAGTGTCACCTTACTGTGTATTTACTATTATACTAAAAGAAGGCCATACATAGTCAAAATCAAGTTGTCACGCCATACACTCTTTTGTGGGCGTATTCAGCAGTGAACATCTAGATTGCTGACCAATGCATACTTTGAGTTGTTAAGAGCAGAACCACCATCACATGAATTTTCCTACTAATACTCCAAATTAGCATTCATTTGAATTAAAACATATTATAAAAATGATAAAAATATAAAAATAAATAAATTACTATAAATCCAATAATATTACAATGTATTATTAATAATAATAATAATAATACCATAAATATATTGATAATATAATGAATTGATAACATTGAAAGTTTAATAATAATAATAATAACAAATTATTATTAAATTAATTAAATATATGACCACTTTTATATCACATGACAAACTGAATTAAATAAACCCCCATGTTTTTGTCACTTTCAGTTGCATAACAAATTTATTATAATTAATCATAATAAAATTAATATAAATACAATCATATTAAAATGCATTATTTATAATAAAATGATAATACATTCTATTAATTGCAATGTATGGATAACATTAAAAAAAATATAATAATAATAGTTAATATTAAATTAATTAAATATATTGCCACTTTTTATCACATGCAAAACTAAATTAAATAAACCCCCAAGTTTTTTTTTCTTTGCCACTTTCAGTTGCAGAATAAATGAATCATGGCCTGTAAATAGGGATTTTCTTCAATTGCATATTATGCTGCTGCGTGATTCTGCTTCCACACTACAAGATGTCATTGTACAATTCAAGACCTCAAAACTGACTTGGTGCACCTGAAGGCCCACTGAAAAATAACTCTTTCTAAAAGCTGTTTTAAACATGTTTTGGGTAGTTTTTCCCTGTTCAGGGAGCATTTTAGCATCTTGGGGTCTTATTCGTGTCTTGGGAGATATTCTGGCTTGGTATGATCATTCACATGTTGTTTTCACCATCATTCTACAGTAACCTGCAGGAAATAACAGCTGATTTGTTGAGCATTTGAAGGACCTTTGCTTCATTTCCTGTTTGTATATCTATACTGCTTTCATTCCTGTGTTTCAGAACAGAAACTTCTGTTCAACACACTCTGTTTCACTTTGACTGACTCAGAGTGAGGTGTTGAGGGCATTCATACAATGGTTTTTCAATGTGTTTGGCAGTGGTTTCCACACACTTCTGCTTTTCTGAAACTTTTCCCATGCTGAAAGCTGTTTCTTGGCCTGATCTGAGTGAATTTGTTGTTGCTCATTTATCTAATAGCCTTGTTAAAAACTCTTCCCATGCTTAAAGCAAGTTTGTTTCTCTCACACACTCACAGATAAAAATAAAAAATAAAAAAAAACCTGTCACTGGGGCTGTACCCTTTCAAACACTACTAATATGCACTTTTGAGATACTTATACACCTTTAAGGTGCTATATGCACCCTTTCAGGGTAAATAAGGTACAAAAGTGTATCTTTTGAAGAGGTACTGCTCCAGTGACAACTTTTGTACTTTTTTACTGGGAGTGCATGAATTTTGACAAAGTACTTTTTGCTGCTGTGCAATTTGAAAATCCTCTTCAGCCAAAACTCTTTCTGTTATCACTATTTCTCAGGGTTTCATTTTAAAAGTCAATTATTAAAGCTTTTGAACATAACCCTAACTGTTATTTGCAAGACAATAACTGCTGCCTTTAGAAGTTGCCTATATGAAGTACTGTCTAAATTGAAAAAATAAATCAAAACATCTGATGTATCTATCTATATATATATCTATATATATATATATATCTATATATATATATATATATATATATATTCATGTAATGTGTATTATTGGCTGTTTAATGGCTTTTAAAAGTAATATATTCACTTTTAATTAAAAAATAAAAATTCCCTCAGATTTTTTTCTTGTTGAGAATAGTGCTGCTTTATTTGCCCAAAAAGAAAGATTTATTGGTAAAATAAATAAATAAATAAATTCCTATGTAATTTTAATAAAGTCTTGTAATAATAAACATATTCATATTTCTGTGCTCATATCCTCTATCTCTGCACTTCCTGTTTTTTGGTTGAACCTCATTTCATCCTTTCATTGATGTGGCGTGCAGTAGAAGGAACGTGAACACGCTTTTCACTTCCTTTGGTTGTTAAAAAAAATTCAAGCTCCTCTCTGAGTATTAGAAGGCATCCTGTGGCATGAAAAAAAATGAATATGATGAAATCCATCTGACTACATATCTCACTGATGCTGTTTAACACTGAGGTGGCTTTGAATTTTTCATATGCTTAAATATGTTGGTTTTTTTATGCATTTCTCTGGAATACTTGATTCTGATTGGTCAACGACTGCATTCTGCAGTATATTTTTGTACATGGACACTAAACTGTATAATTCACTGTTACAACTGCTAATTCTCCTTCTTATCATATGAGTACATAATTTGCATGTCAATTTATTCATTTAGATTGCAATGTAAGTAGCTGTGCATAAAGTGGGATAATTTGCAGCCAACTTTGTTTTAGAATTCTTATCAGGGTTTATTTGGCAATTATGAATGATTGAATGACTCTGTTTATTATATATTGCATAATACATAATATGAATATTACGTGCTATCAAACAATGTTGTCAATGTTTTTCTTTTCACAGACAGCTGGACACCACAGACAACCAAGGAGAATATGTGGAAGTAAGGCCTTTTTTCTTTCTCTTATAGCAAGAAGTCATTTAAACAATCTAAATCTCTCATCCTTAATAAGGAAAAGCTGGAAGGAATTATGTTAATATATCTGTGTATTACTTCAATCTGTCTGTTCTTTGATTTAGGCTATATTTCAGGCTCAATCCCTGACAACTTGCTGAATATGGCTATTCCATGCTTAATTAGGCACACTTCCTGTATTCATTAACTAAAAGCACCATTTAGAGATGTAATAAGAAATTAATCTAATGAGTTATTTTGGTATGTGCTGATTTGGTGCAAATTAATGCCCGTATTTGCAGTCATTAAGATATTAGATTCTGCATTTAATTGCTGTGCAGTGAACTCTGCTGCCTCTATATGGAGCTACAAACTGCTCTTTAATTCCTGAAGCTCTGTAAGGGAAGGTTAGGTGTGGCCAGACCCACATGACCCTTATGCCTTCAGAACACACATTCTCATTTACACACACTGCATAAAATATGTGCACACAGATAGTGAAAATTCCTTCATACTCTGGCACACTAAGCCAGTAGCTCTCAACTGTTCTTTTTTTTTTCTTATGGATGGGAATTGTAAGGAATTAAACAATTCTTGATTCATCTTAATGGTTCCATTTAATAGTTCTTTTATTACTTTTAAGGAAGAAACATCTGGAAAAATGTTGACCTCTGCAATTTCTATGCAGTGCTGGGTAGTAACTAATTTCATGTAGGCTAATCTAGATTAAGTAATCGGATTACAAAAATTAAGCAGGCCTACTTGGCAGTAAACACACTTGGCAATAAAGCTCTTTGTGATTCTGACGATTGAATATAAAAAATATTATTCGGCTATTTTTTGTCTTTTGGGAAGCCTCATAGAGTTAAGCAAGGAACCAGAGCCAGTTTTGGTATACTGTATATGAGCGTATGATGTCTGTACCTCATCGCTGCTCCAGCGGTTGGGGAACGAGGGTCTCTGTCTCTTGACGCACACCACCTCCCTCATGTCCTCGTAGGACGGGTCGGTCGGCACCAGGTCGTGATACGGCAGCTGATACTCCTCCACGATCCCTGCAGGACCACACACAGCATCTGTTTACTGCCAATGATTCTTTTGTGAGTGATTCAGTGATTCATTGTTCATAACTTTCTCCTCTGAATCACTTTTACACTTCTGCTGATAAAATACTCGGAACTGAGTGTGTGTGCTAGGGATGGGACGATTACAGTCACCCGTAGGTTTCTGAAGAGCGGTTTTGAAGCTCAAAGTAGGCGGAGCCGGCCGTCGCCATCTTGGCAGCGCGTCACCGCGCATCACTCCTGGATAATCGAAAATAGGCAAAGAGGCGGGAGCTGGCTGCTGAAACCACACCCACCTAGCTCGACGGTGGTGACAGCAGCGGCAATCCACCAATCACTCAAGTGGCCACTCCCTTAATTATGCAGAACTTTAAGGCTTAATATAATTTAAATGGATGAGTTATAAAAAAAATTCAACACCCTCACAGTTGTCATGAAGGGCAAAATTAGCTATATAGACCAAAATCATTTTTTGTACCAGGCTGTAAACATGTTTTTTCTGCTGTAAAGTTGGGCATTTTAACATGGGGAGTCTATGGGACTGACTCCCTTTTGGAGCCAGCCTCTAGCAGCCAGTCAATGAATTGCAGATTTAGTCACTTCCGTGTTGGCTTCACGAGAGAGACCGGAAGGTTGCCGCTTGGCTGTACTGTGAAGATGCTTGTGGGTGTTCCTAGTGCTGTCGCTCTAATGTGATTGGTAGATTGCACATCTGGATATATCTTTAGAAAATGCAATCACAAACTATATATATTGCCGGTAAAATCACACATATAAGCACAAACTCTTTGAGGCACCGTGCTGTACAAATTAGATATCATTCTAATTTGACCAGGAATTAGACTTAAAATAAATAAAAGTAGCTTTCTGCTGTTGGTGAGTATTGTTATTTAAACTACAGCACTAATCAAATCATTAACAAATCATTAATTATCGTTAATTAAATCATTAACCAGTGCTAAACACGAACCATCAATGTATGAATCAAATTCACTAAACAGTTTCTTTTCCATGCATCATTTTTAATATCCATGTATGTAGTTATGGTCAAATCATGTCAACTCTGTCCTGTCTTGCCTGCACTCAAGACGGTGACGTGTGAGCGCCACTGGCTGATTCTTCACTCCAATCCACCTTTTTCTTCAACGCGGAAGGAAGCCTATGGGTGAGACTTCCGGTTCATTAGCCGTATTAAATGCTTTTTAATTATTAAAAAACAGCAGCTGGTTTAATTCACTTTTAACCATTGACGCAGATACTATCGTTGACCAAAAGGTGGTGCTGTTTAGCTAATGGACATTTCATTACAGCGTAAACGGTGAAACTAGAACGCCTACTAGACTATCCACCTTTTTCTTCAACGCGCAAGTAAGCCTATGGGCAAGACTTCCGGTTCATTAGGCGCTATAGGAAAATAACGAGATGAATAACAACGTGCAGTAAACGGTAAAACTGTTTGCACTACAAACCAGTGAGTTCATAATTAAGATAATACATTAAAATAATATGGTAAAACACACCAATTTTCAATATCAAGCATCAAAAGGAGCGGTTCTGTACAGCTAAAAATAGCTGGACGTGGATGAGACCGGAAGCTAGACACATAGAATTTACAAATGGCCAGCACCCATTTTTACGGCAAGAAAAAGGTGGATTGGTTGTCGCTCGCGAAATTCGCTGTTCATTTGCATAAAGTTAAACTATTCTTAACTTTTGTCGCGTGACTCCCATCGCTCGCCACGCCCACATTCTGTCGCCAATGGTCAAGTCAAGTCAAGTCACCTTTATTTATATAGCGCTTTTAACAATACAGATTGTGTCAAAGCAACTGAACAGCATTAATTAGGAAAATAGTGTCAATAATGCAAAATGACAATAGTAAACACAAATTTTTCAGTTAAAGACAGTTCATCATTGAATTCAGTGATGTCAACATCCAGCTCAGTTTAAATAGTATCTTTGCAATCAAGTCAACGGTATCGCTGGAAATGAAGTGTCCCCAACTAAGCAAGCCAGAGGCGACAGCGGCAAGGAACCAAAACTCCATCGGTGACAGAATGGAGAAAAAACCTTGGGAGAAACCAGGCTCAGTCGGGGGGCCAGTTCTCCTCTGACCAGACGAACCAGCAGTACGGAAAAATCAATTTAAGACGTAATAAAACAGACGATGAACACTATTAACAGCAATTATTATAACATTGTATAGTGACAATGGTCACTATTGTTTGTGTCGCCCGAAGTCGCCAGCTCTCCATTGAAAATGAATGGGATCATGTCGCTGGCAGTGTGAACGGGGCTTACACCCAGCGTGCGATAGCGCCTCACCCCAGGGTGTGCCAGTCCGTGCCGTTAAATCTGGATGCTACACCGTGGCACAACGGAGCAGCACACACGTGAAAGTCCTTCGCAAGAATTACATTTAGCTTAAGCACAGACTCGCCGAATGAAGCTTCTCAAAGAAACTTCACTCGAATGTGGGTACTGAAATTACCTTTCTGTCCTGGTTACAGACACACTGAGAATCATCGCTGTATGATGAGAGTGAAGTGAAGGCGCAAATCGTTAGAACGCGTGTCACTGTGACGTCACTGAGACCGGCCGCTCTCTTCAAGAGAGAAAACATAATCTGAGTATAATTTTTCTTTCTCTTAACAAAAAGCACTCAGAATATGTACAGTTTACACAGTCTATATAGACCACATGTCTATATAAACGGTCTATAGCCATAAGCTCTATAATTAAATTGTAATCTTTTTTTAAATGAGTATGCACTTTCTTTTTCTTTCTCGTTTATTTATTTATTTTCGTTACTGTCCAGCTCTGTTTCTGCTTTTTTTCTTTAAATCTACCAGTTGCGGTTGCTTCCGGGCGAGCGGATTCTCTGCAGCTTTCTCGCCTCCGCTCTGTTGCTATGACTCGTCAGGATTGATGCGCATTCTCGCTGTCAGCTGTCGGCAAAGCGCTCGCCCAAGCGGAAAAATGTGCTGTTGCTCGGTTGCTGAAAATCACATTGTGTTTGATGCAAAACCAACTCGACTAAATCAAAAGAAAAAAACACTATAACTGTATATTTTTGTTTTCTCAAGCAAAGCAAATTTTAAAAGTCCACTGAAAACATATCTTCTTTCATTTTTGGTCATAGACAACGTATGTTGAAGATTATTGTAAACGTTATTGCCTAAGCGGTAAATTAAAAAAATGTTTATAAAAACGTTGGCTATATAAAATTTTAATAATAACAAACATCATATTGTTCCCTTTGCTTTGCGTATGCTCGTGTCGCTTACAGTTAAAGTCCTTTTCTGATTTTATTATTGTTTGCAAGGTTGCAACGTTACTTTGCAATATTTTAAATATTTTTTGGTATTTTGCATGGGCTGTTATTGGAGTAGTGTCACCCGGGTGGGAATTTTAACTCTTATTCACAGGGAATAAAAAAATAAATAAAAAATAATTTGGCAGATGCAGAGACATATACTGACAAGGCCTGTTTGAGTGTGCATCGATCAGGCTGTAGAGGGGCCCGCTGAAGGGATTGTTTTTCACAGTAAAGTGTGTTCTAATCTCCCCTCTGATGTCTTAAGAGATCTATCAGTGTAACTAATAGTGAGTTGCTAAAGGCCAGAGACCAAGGCTGCTCCCTTGATAGGCCTCCATCTATAAAATCTCCCTCGCTTCTCGACTTTACAAACCCCACACTCTCCCACCAGATGGCTGGTTGTCAGATGAGTTAAAGGAATGTTTCGGGCTTCATTCAGTCGATAGAGACAGCATTTATGGCATGATGCTGATTGATACCGAAGGTTCCAACGTTACTTTGCAATATTTTAAATACTTTGGGGTATTTTGCATGGTCCGTTATGTCACCTGGGTGGGAGTTTTAACTCCTATTCACTGTGAATAAAAAAAATAATTTAGCTGATG